TCGACAGTGTCCTTCAAGAACAGAAGTTTTTCATTTTAACAAGTACAGAGTATTAGTTTGTTCATGACTTGTGTCTTTGGTGTTGGATCTAAGAAGGCACCGCCACACCCAAGGGCACCTTGCTTTTCTGCTAGGATATCTTCTAGAAGTTTTATGGTTTTGTGTTTTACATTTAGATCTAGTATCCATTCTGAGTTAATTTAAAAAAAAATTTTTTTTTAATGTTTATTTTTAAGACAGAGCACGAGCGGGAGAGGGGAAGAGAGAGAGGGAGACACAGAATCCGAAGCAGGCTCCAGGCTCCGAGCTGTCAGCACAGGGCCCGACGCGGGGCTCAAACCCACAAACTGTGAGATCATGACCCGAGCCAAAATTGGACGCTTCACCGACTGAGCCACCCAGGCGCCCCAATTCTGAGTTAATTTTTGTGAAGAGTGTCAGGTCTGGGTCTAGATTAATTCTTTTGTGTGTGGATGCGGTTTTCTAGCAACATTTGTTGAAAAGACTATCTTCGCTCCATTGAGTTGTCTTTGCCCTTTCGTCAAAGACAAGGTGACTATACTTGTGTGGGTCTACTTTTGGCCAATGTGCTGATTTATACACACACTGTACAATGATTATTACCATTAACACATCCATCACCTCCCAGGTAAACTTCTATTTGTACGTGTGCATGAACAACGCTTAAGATCTACTCTTAGCAGAGGTGCCTGGGTGGCTCAAGTCAGTTAAGCTTCTGACTTTGGCTCAGGTCATGATCTCACGGTTCATGAGTTCGAGCCCCACATGAGGCTCCGTGCTGGTAAGTGCAGAGCCTGTATGGGATGGTCTCTTTCTCCCTCTCTCTGCCCCTCCCCAATCATGCGTTTTCTCTCTCAAAATTAAAAAAAAGGATTTACTCTTAGCAAACTTCAAGTATACCGTACAATATTATCAACTATAGTCACATGCCATACCTGTTTCTTCTTCTGAAGTACCTTTAAAAAGGCTTGAATAAAAGTGTAGTATTTATTTTCTTTAGATGGGAAACCATCTAGATTTATAAAAAGATTTCCAACCTCTCCAGAAATCTCAAATGTAAGTTAGAGCAAGGAGTCTGGTAAAGGGCCTTGGCAAAGATGAAAAAGTATCTACAGAAAAGGTATGGGGAGACTTAATATTAGTGCGGGTACAGACTTACGGATACTTTTTATGAAAAATGCAAAGGCTTCTGAAAAGCAGTATGGATACACACACACACACACACACACACGTACATTTGACCCAGAGTGGCCTCCTCTCTCTGGGGATCACAGAACAAGTAGGGTGCCTTCCCAACCTCTCGGTCAACCCATACAGTAGACGAGATTACGACAGCCCCGCCACGACAATTTTCCAGAGGAACTGTTCCCCTGCCCTCATTGCAGACAAGGATAAAGAGTCATTCACCGCAAGGCCCTGGGTGAGGCCCAGCAAATTCACTGTGACGAACAGCGAGCCCCACACAGATGTCCTTCTGAGGGTGGGTCACCAACACAGCCCTAGGGAAAGACATGGGTCATGCTGAATCGTGACAATGTGGTGGCCAAGGAGTTATAATCGAATGACCCAAGAATCGTTTTCAGAGCCTTTATCAAAAAACCATAAAGGATGTGCTTCTTGGGGGTAATACGGGAGGAAGAGCCATATAACCTTGAAAATTCTGTTTTAGTTTCAATTTCTCTTTTTACGCTTCATTCTCTTAACACCCAATAATCTCAAGGCGGGACTTGCGCATCACACTTTAACAAACATACAAAAACAAAAGGAACCGCTCTCACTGCGGGATGTGACAAACATGGGGAGACCGGGGAGCCCTCTGCTCCGAGGGGGAGGGCAGGCCTGCAGGGTCGGGAAGTTTCTGCGGGAGAATTCCCTTCCTAACAAGTGAACCTCCTTGAGCAGTCTCCTGTCCTTACAGAGCCCTACCACCTTCTGTAACTTTTTTCCAGGTCGAGTGAGCTTCTTCGGGAAAGAAAAGAACGATTCAACAAC